TAAATGGAACTCCTAAGATGCCTTTGTACCACGTATCACAATATCTCTATGTCCGAGTGGAAATAAATATCGCTTTTTCCGATAACGTTTTTTTTTTTGCTAAAAATATAGTCGATCATATTTTCATCGCTGCGTGAAAGTATCGAACTTATTAACATTATTACATATTTTTCCGTATATTATATAAAATATTTGTTTTGAAAATCAATTTATATGATTATAAAAATTTTATAAAAAATATATTCATCTATACATGTAATAAAATTGTAACTAAGCCGAATCTGTACATTAAATATTTTTTGAAAAATCTTATTAAAATAAACATTATTATGGATACAGAGACTGAATCTATAGTGTTTAGAATTTTTGTCTGTCTGCCTGTCTGTTACCGCATCACAGAAAAACCACTGGAGGGATTTTGATGAAATTTGGTATGGTGATAGCTGGTTATCCGGGTCAACATGTAGGATATTTTTTACCGCGGGAAAATTTCTCATTTCTGAGAAAAAATACAAAAACTGCAATGTAAGAGTATACTAATATGTAAAACCTAAGAATTTGGTTTCTGGTCATCTGTACGCGGGCGGAGCCGCAGGCAATGTTAATAGTATCTAAAGCTATATTATATTAGCAAGGAAGTTTTTTTATAATAAAATTGTAATCCGTTCAATATATGATATAGATAGATATGTGTATAGATATACAGATAAAGACGTGAGTTAAAGTTGGTAAGTATTGAAACATGTGGCAATAATGGAAGCTATATAATATATCATTCAACGCCCTCGGGATCGCATCGACGGTGAATGCTTAAGCATAGGAAATCGCGGTACAGATGGAATATTTGATACTTACAATTAATTTTAAAATTCTATTAAATATATATGGTATTTTAAAATTTTGTACAAACAAGTGAGTATTCCTAAAATAGTATTCCATTTTATGACAATGGTAAATGATTTTTGTTACTCTACTTTGCAAAAATACTCTTACCTCCTTTACCTCTAATAACTTACTGTATGAAATAAGAAAGAAACTTAGCTGTTAGTTACTTAGATAGATATTCGAACATAAAAAAATGCAAGTTCAAAATCATCTTTGAACCCTAGCTCTACATAAAAAAAACAGGACGCTCGAGTTTTCTCTGTTAATATATTTGAAATATCCGATTGATCGATTTAAATGTAGATGTGATTTTATGATTAAGCTATTATTATTTATACCTTTAAAAACTTATAAAATATCATTTTAACCAACAGTAATGTAAGAGAGTTTTCCCAAAATATCAAGATTTTACTTGTAGCTATTGAAATACATAAATCACAATTTATTAGTTCCATCATAAGATCAGCTCGATGGAATCAATGACAAAAAAATGGAAAACATCGAAATGACAGTTAGAAGTAGATGTAAGGGTTTCTTACAACAAACAAACACACTAACATATTTTATAATATTATAGTTTGGATTTTTAATATTATAAATGTGAAGGATTTATTGTGTGGAGATAGTTTGAAGGTTGAAGTTGAAGGTACTTTATGCCTCGAGAGATTATCTCATACCCACAAGAAAACACGTTATAATACAACCCACAACAACTCATCATACCTTTGTATATATATATATATATATATATATATATATATATATATATATATATAATAATATAATATAGTCTATTTATTCCATACTAACCATTAAAAAGTACCTAAGGAAAAACCCGAGCAAAACGAGGGTGAGTCACTAGTATTTTGATATTTAAGATAAATGCGTCTCTCAACGTACATGCACTATAAAATATATAAAAGAAAGTCGTGTTAGTAACACTAATTATAACTCAAGAACGGCTGAACCGATTTGGCTGAAAATTGGTGGAGGGGTAGCTTAGAACCAGGAGACGGACATAGGATATAGATTTTTATCCCGTTTGACCACGTTCCCGTGTGACGTGACATAAAACTCAGAAACGGCTGAGCTAATTTTTATGATATTTAAATTTTTGGATTTCTCTTAGTCCGGAATAGGATAATAAGTATTAAAACATCAGAAAAATTAACGATTTTTTTTAATTTATATGGTTAACGATGGCTAATTTATTTATATCTATTTAAAACGTACCTAGCGACAAACCCGAGCGAAGCGAGGTTGAGCCGCTAGGTTCTTAATATTTTAAAGCTTTTAATAAAGCTAAAATTATGCATCCATTATTTTGAAAAGACTTATTTATAAGTATAAATATGTTTTAACATGGATTTTATAGTGTCTAAGCAAATAATTTTATGACGTATATAAAATACGTTACACATAATGTGTGAATAATATACGCAATAAATATTGAAGTATAATTTCAGAAAAAAAATACATGTTTGCCTGTTTTTCTTTGATCTCTGGAACCGCAGGACTAATTTTAATAAAATTTAAATATTAAATAGAGGGTAAAAAGGACATCGGCGAGATGGAGATAAATTTTTTATAAGTTTATTGGTATGAGATATAGACTATATATTATGTAATATAGTAAAATCTCGTACGATTAACACGTTGGCAACGAAATCGGATAATAGTAACGAAATAGTAACTTATATTTTAATTATTTCTTAGATTTACGCGAATATTTGACATCTATACATACAATAAATTAGTAAATTATCGCTGTCTATACATATAAGATAGTTGAGAAAAACTATTATTGAGGGTCTTAACTAACACAATAGAACCAACCCAAAACAATGATTTTTAGAATTTTTGGCAGTTTGTCTGTGCGTTTCTGCGCGCTAATCTTAGAAACGTCTTAACCAATTCGGATGCGGTTTTCACTGTTATATTGTTTAAGCTTTACTTAACATTTAGTGTTTGTTTTATTTCAATCAAAAAAGTTATAGGGACGAGCTCGAGCGAATCGAGGATAAGTCGATAGTCTTAAATAAAACTATCTTTTCGGATTTTTGCGCGAATTTATCAAACAACCAGTCGGGAACCAAAAATCAAAACAAATTTGCGAGATAGTCCGAAAAAATAATTTTATTTAAAGTTTTTTCATAAGGATTCATCTCACATAAATATAGGAGAAACTAATTAGTAAACTCTAAAGCTTGAATAAAAAGTAAATTGAACCTCGATTCTAATTTTCATATGAATAGGCACCATTTTAAACAGAATGTATTGAATTTCATAACTTTTATATAGACGATACGATATCATTGAAACGATTAATGATTCAAATAAAAGTTTCTGTATAGAAAAATTTAAAATAGGTAGTATCAATCTATGAAATAAATAAAATATAAAAAATTCCAAAGTTTTTCCAGTCTGGTACCAGCTATAAATGTATCACGTACGGTTTGAATTGAAAGCCTCAATATCATTTATTTGCGAGCATGCACCGGCATTATTCCTTTATGTCTTCCTCTCGATGTACTTTGCGCAATATATTTCGCAAAATAATTTCATTTTATTGCATGAAATTAAAATTAAATAAAAGTATGGCCGGAAAATGTGAATATATATCCTTTTTAATGATAACGGTGTTAATAATTAATAAAAAAAATCTTTTTACGTACGAACGTGTGATTTCGGGTTCTGTATATTGAATTATTGTTATGTTTCATATATTTTTTTATGGAAAAAATATATGTACAAACTACAAACAGTGTACTCTTATAATTCTTGGTCTTTATCCAAATCCATATTTTTTTATACCACGTCGGTGGCAATCAGGCATGTGGCCCGCCTGATGGTAAGCGGTTACCGCAGCCTATAGACGCCTGCAACACCAGGGGCATCACATGCGCGTTGCCGACCCTTTAAAAACCTATTTACTCCCCTTTTGAAGGACCCCATACTGTAGCCCTCTGGGAAAACCTCATCAGACAGGAAAAACTTTGGAATTTTTTATATTTAAAAAAATGGTGTATTTCATAAGATTTTTTAAATAAAACTATCTTTTTCGGATTATTTCGCGGATTTATTTTGATTTTTTGTTCCCGACGTTTCGAATGCTTTACAGCATTCATGGTCACGGGAGAGACAGAGGTGTTACATGTCTCAAAGGTATAAACGTCGGGAACCAAACATCAATATAAATCCGCGAAATAATCCGAAAAGATAGTTTTATTTAAAATGTCAAATATTCGCGTAAATCTAAGAAAGTATTATTCATAAGATTTTTTTAATCGGCTATTATGGGTGATGATATTGCAACTACGAGTACTTACTCTGTAACCAGCACTACTGAGATTAACACCTCCAGGTAAATTTCTAAGAAATTAATTAAATTTCTAAGAAATCTATTGTTAACTGTAACGCCGGTGTGTCCGTAGTTTTGGGGGGAATAAAATTAAATCATATCAATTTTTATTTGCACGTCACACGTGGATACAACGGTCATTAGTAAATTAATATGCTTTTGTCATATCATTGCTATTACTAAGCATTTGTTTAATTACTTAGAAATAGCCGTCATAGTAAAGGATACTGCTATGTTTTGGTGAGGTGTTTGATAACATCCGGTAAGACTCAGATACACTGTTATTGGAATTATTACCCGAGCGAAGTGAGGGTACGCCGCTTAAATATTTCTATTTACAAGTAATAATAACTAAGCTGGTTAAATATTATGGGAATTTATGAATAAATGAATGTAAAATATGTGAAGAAAACACAATTTACAAAAACGGTGATGACCAAAAAGTTTTTCCACCCTTTCGAATATGTTATGGATATCATTTCTAACTATTTCTAAGAGGTAAAATAAAACAAATTGTTTCATTATTTCAGTTTATTTGTTGTAAACAGTCTTATAATCGAGCGATGAGTTTACATTGACGTAAACATTTCAATTTGGCGTCTAAGCGAACGGTTACAAGAGCATTTTCATGATATTATAACGATATCGTTGTCTTTACATTTTACATCTTATTATATAATATTTACAGAGATTTTTAAACATTTACTTTTATTAAGCATAAAATGATTCAACGCTTTATTTACAATAGTAACTACGTTAACATGTAAGGATAGACTATACAAATAAGTAAGAACAAGAGTGTCTGTAGATGGGGTCTACTCTGGGAGTTTCCTTTCGCTGGCTCAGTTAGACCTGTTTATGAGATAAAAAATATAATTTAATTTAATATAATTTAATGCACTAACAAAGGGAGTAATCAATGGTAATCATTATTTAATATGTTTTAATGAATATACATAAAATATACCTAAAGCTATATTTATAAAACACATATATCAAAAGAATTCAAATAAAATAAGCTCAAATTCAAACGTTTTTATTAATTAGCTTATTAACTATTATTAATTAGTTGAGAGTTTTAAATCCTCAAAGTAAAAATAGTTTGTTGGTACAAAAATCGATCGCTCTTGGGATTATGATCTTATACCAAGAAATACGTAACGGGTTTTATATTAAGCAAATACTCGTATAACAGTAATAAAATAGTTGGATATACGGTTAGATATTTTATCAGAAATTTTTCAGCAGTTTCAGAGATTAGTGCATGCAAAGAAACAAAAAGTTTTCTGTTTTGTAAATATATAAACAATGCTTTCAAATTACTCTATGCTTACTAAGCATATTATTATTATTTTACATGGTATTTAATTATCTCAACCATAACATACATACAGATAAATAAAATTGAAGTGTCTGTTTGTTAAGTCAAAATAACGGCTTCTTATTAAATGCATAATAGAAATTATATACGGTACTTATAAGAAAAACATAATTTTTAAAAATTTTGTCTGTCTGTCTGTTTGATCTGGCTAATCTTCAAAATGACTAAACTGATTTTGACGAAACTTTAACTGGCAGATAGCTAATGTTATGACGAGTAACTTAGGCTACTTTTATTTTAAAAAAGAATTACGATTTTACTCAAAAAAAAACGACACAAGTGAAGCGAAGGTAAGTCGCTAGTAAGCAATATTTCTAGTTCAACATGGACTATTTTTTTAAATATCCTATACACTAGGTTTCATCTAATATTTAGACCATTACAAGGTTTAAAACAAGAGAAATAAGAATAAGCTATCTATCTCCTAATGCTCAGTTCTATATGCGCTGGCCCAACTGCATCGCATTTCATATTCATAGCGTTCTAATATAAATGACAGTTCAAAAGTTATATTCTTTCATATAAATTTTCCAGGAGATTCTTTATTACGGTAATTTTTTATAAAGATTTTCGAAAAAATTCTCACATATTTTGTAAATATAAAAAATAAAAACTAAAAAAAATGTTTTTTTTTTTCTGTCAATGACTAGACAGTATTTCTGTAGCGAAGAAGATATTAAAGAAATATATTATGTCAACAAAAATATGAAATATTTTTTCCCCTTTTAATAAATCCTGGCACATTAAAATATTCATTTTTGAACAGAAGTCTAAAAATAATATTTTTGAAAGGTTAAAAAAACAATTTCAAATCACAAATTCGTATTCGTAATCCTGACTTTCGAAGTCGTTTAAAAATTAAAATAAATTTCCTTAATAGTCGAGTTGTACCAAAAATTTAATAAAACGTAACGGTTGTGACTGGCAGCTCGACGTTTCAAACTTAATTCGTCCAAGTTACCTGAGAAGTTTCGCGAATTATACAAATCCTGACATAAAGTTGAGAAAAAAGTTGATTTCGTACCTCCTGCGACGCTTATTTGATTGCTGAAGTCCTCAGAGTATGAATTCAGCTTTATTTCTGTAAAAAAAACATAATTTCAGAAAGAGGAATTCAAGTTAAACTTTAGATTAATTATTATGAAAAAATATATTAAAAACGTTAATATACTTAATGAAGTGAAAATAAATGTCTGTCATGAATGTGACAAATTATCACGAAAGTTATGAAACATACTCGTACATATAACTTGGATTTAATTAACAATTAAGTTATCGAACTGTCTATACTATTATGTCTACGTAGCATTATAATTGACTTCCTGACTGGTGTAGTGGCTAGCACGTATGGCTTCACATACGAAGGTCCTGGGTTCGAGTCCCGGGTCGGGCCGGGTTTAGTTATTGAGTCTTTCTGTTTAGTAATCCTCAGTAACGACCCGGAGTTAGGAAGTTGGCGGTGTTACACTCCCGTGCCTCGGAGAGCACATAAAGCCGTCGGTCCTGCGCCTTAACTCTCACAGGTCGCGTCGAGTAGTTGTCCCACTAGAGTATGAGAGTGACAGGAATAGAGAGTGCACGTTGTGTCTGCGCGTACACTTGTGCACTATAATATAACCTGCGCAGTTGGCTAGTATCAATGAGATTGGCCGCCGCCGTGGCCGAATCGATCGTGAGGACATTATAAATTGAAATATGTATGTATAATTAAATTATTCCCTTTATATACTCTATTCTTCTTCTATTTTTGTTCACTTACTTTGCTTAAAATAAGATTATTTATACTAATTATTTTTATTTTTTATTTTATTCAGAGTGAAATAGTGCTTCGAAAATCCTATACGGCATGGTAGACGAACGCATGACGCGTGGGTGGCGCAGGGCGAACGGGGGAGTGGGGGTGTTTCTATATTAATTACTTGTAATATAAAACCAAATAATTTGTTTTTTTTTATAGTTTTAACGCGAGCGAAGTTTCTGCTAGTATATTATAACACATATAACATAAGAACTCTCTTCACCACATTTTATAAGCAAAACCCATTTTAAAATAAGGTACGTATATAAACAGTTCTCAAAGCAGTATGAGATGATGTTTGAATATGATATAGCCATAATATCGTCAAGTTCGTATATTGGGCATACTGCCAAGAGTACTAAGCGAAGTCGCGTGCCAACAGTAAGCTATTCATGAGAAGGTATCGAATATCTGCAGCCTACTTTTGCTTTCAGATATCAGTAGTTCATGTAAGCTCTAATGTGCTTTTTCTATACATTTTACAGCAATTTCGTTGTATCAATACAAAGGTTATTGCACTCATAGTTTTTTGGATTATATGCATTTTTGATTAAAACTATAATATGTATAATGTTATTAAACTATATGTTAGAGAATAATTAATAAAAAAATACTTGTGTTGCCATGTTTGGTATTTTATACACGATTCTGAGGGTAGTTGAATGACGGTACATGACAATAGCGTTTGACAGCTAATAATTTATGACGTGAGTCAGTAGTGCGAGTGAACTCACTTTATTGTGAACACTCGACTGTGCCGCACGAGCACACTGACCATGGCGGACGAGAATCGCGATAACGTAATATCGAATCCATCGGCATCCGTAACATATAGGTCTTTTTACTAGATATGTATGGAATTTAAAAACATTTTAAAACAATTCTGAAAGAGTTTTTAGGAACATTTAAGCAATAAAGTGAAAAAAATAATAAACTTCCCTATATTGCGTAACTTATCACTAAATCTTTTTAAAGAAGTCCTTTACCGTGATAAGGCAAATAAGCAGTCGAAATGAATCCTAATATTAAATTTAAATTAACAAATTAATTTTTATTCACGAGTCAACTTACATGATAGGATGCTAAAATAATTATATTTCTAAAAACAAAAACAGAACATGCTTCTTCTGATCAATTGTAAATGTATGTAACATATCAAAACTCATCAAATTAGCGCAAACTCGAAGGTTTTGGAAAGTTTTATTGTCCATTTCCTAGAGTCATCAACGGAGTCGCTCTACAATTTTAATTTTTTTGTCATCTCAAGTCTCCATAAACCAAAATTAAAAGTAGATACAAACAGGCATACAGACAAAAAAGTAATATTATTCTTCAATACTAATAATAAGTGTAGTTATAGACACTATGGCATTAAAGTAGCATCTGCCTGCGATTTCCCTCACATAGATAATGATTGTATATTGTATAATTATATAATATACTAGCATTGCCCGCGGCTCCGCCCTCGTTCAGATGACCTAAAACCAAATTCTTAGGTTTTACATATTAGTATACTCTTACATTGCAGTTTTTGTATTTTTTCTCAGAAATGAGATATTTTCCCGCGGTAAAATATATCCTATATGTTGACCCGGATAACCAGCTATCACCATATCAAATTTCATGAAAATCCCTCCAGTGATATTTCCGTGATGCAGTAACAGACAGACAAAAATTCTAAAAACTATAGATTCGGACTCTGTATCGATAATAATGACTATTTCAATAAGATTTTCTAAAAAATATTTATTGTACAGATTCGGCTTAGTTACAATTTAATTATACATATATATATATATATATATATATATATATATATATATATATATATATATATATATATATATATAGATTATATGTAAGTTTATATAACAAATAGGCTATAAAATGTAAAAAAATATAACTAGTACCATGAAAGATTAATTAAAATAAACAATGAAACAATATTTTCAGCTTTATACCATTAGAATAAATATCAAGACATTACCATAGAGTCTTAACGTCCCTTCACTCTTGCCTAGTGAGTTAGTGCTGACACAGTTGTAGGTGCCGATGTCATTTTTCGAAAATTGCTTGATAGTCAGCCACATTGACACTTTGTATGATGATTTTTCTTCTCGAATGATGTATTTTGGACTGAAAAAATAATAATTTATTAATATTTCAAGACATATTATTCGGAATAATCACGAATGTATTAATAATTATATTTAAAAATTAAAAATTTTAAATCACCCCTACGCAAATTAATTGTCATTTAACGCTTACACTGGCGCGCGTGAAGCACTTAATCGAGTAATCATACGCCAAAATGCCTTACATCATTTTGGAAAAGAGCTGATACTCTTACACTGCTGGACCGATATCAACCAAATATAGCTAAGAACCACCGCAAGGAAACTGGCTTTCAAATAAAAAAAACAGCATCGAAATCGGTCCATTCGTTTGAGAGCTAAGATGCCACAGACAGACACACACACAGACAGACAGATATCGACGTCAAACTTATAACACCCTTCTTTTTGCATCGGGGGTTAAAAACAATTGAGCAAGTGCGAGTGTGACTCGTTCTTCAAGGTTCAGAGTATTAAGCGTAACATACATTTAATATTTATTGACAGCTATAAAAATAAGGAACATTAAAATATAGTAATTTTAGAATATTGCGTAATTTTTTTGTTTCTTTTAAAGTGTTTTGGGTATAAATTAATACTAGCGATTATATTATTTTAAATATACTTATCATTTTAATAAGAAATCTGTCCTTTTCTACTAATACATGGTAAGATTCTGTTTAAAAAAGGGCAACTAAGAAAAACATTTTTCACAACACCATTTTTCACTTTGCCGCCTTGATAAAGTTTTAATATGTTGGATTTTTTCCATAACAAGAATTTAGTATATCGAGGGTATTCTGGGAGAACCAAATAAGTAGCGATACTGTATTATTGAGATATACGCATTTAAAGTTTTGGATGATCATAAGTCAACGACGAAGCATAGTTACAGAAAATTTTTACTACTTGTACTTAGATACATTATCTAAGATTGTTTTGATATATTAATTTATGCAATAATTGCCATAAAAAGCTAAAAAAAAGGGAAAAGTTGGCGTGAAGGTATTGCAGTTATTTTGTTTTACCTGAAATACATAAATAAGCTGTAAATCTCTTAAACGCACATTAATCTTTACCTACTATTTTAGGAACAGTTCACTGTCCCGTATTAAATAAGTTGATGTTAAAATTAATTGAAATAATATTCCAATTAAGGCGGTAGAATAATTTTTTTCTCAGTTATCTGTTTCTACCTGTATTTTTTTTTTGGGAATTACTGCATTAAAAAAACAAATAGGCGATATTCATTTTATTTATTGCAAGCTTTCTTAAATTTAAACAGTTTAATCCTGTACATAAAATGATATGAGAAATTATTAAGTAAAAACACGAGTAAAGGAAATTGCGTAATAGTTTCTTCCCAAGGTAACTCATCCTCTTCTTCAGCTTCTTCAGGAACTCTGTCTTCAGATTTTTATACCAAGGCAATTACCAATTACCAATTCTTCTGGTATTATATTTTTTTTAACTAAATTTAGTAAATCCTTTTCTTTTGCTTCGGATATAGGTAATGATTTTTTATACATTTTTTTTAAACTTGTTGGTAATTCATCCTGTTCCTTTCTTTTTGTTCGTGTTGCTCTAGTTTTCCTTCTTTACCGTTAACGTCAATGTAATTAAAAGTCTCACTCGTGTCATAATTGAAGTAAATTCTTTTCTCCCCCTTTACAAACCTCAGACGTTTGATTTTAAGCAATTTCCTTCTTTGTCCTTTGTTATGAATAACAAGCCAGATCTTTTAAATCATAAAACCCATGGTATTTAAACTCTTTCATCTTGTATGGCTCCTTGACTATCTTCTTCTGTTGAACAGGATGTGCTTTCCTACGCCTTGCACGTTCGCATATTGAAATCCAGTCTTGCATTGAATATACTCATGTTTCTTTCTTTTGAGATTCAATAGCACTATGCCTGGAATCGACCTCCGTGTATGTATGTCTGGATTCTAAAAAAAATTGCTTTATAATCTGTAAATCTTCAATTTTCTGAACAGCCCACAAAAGAATTGCTGCCACATATTAATTCCTATTTTGACCTGAGCAAGTATCGGAAAAAGGCTTATTTCAGTTACATTTGCTGTAATACAATTAGCTAAATGTTAAATGTAATAAAATCGTTCCAATTCCGCTGCTACCTTTTTACCGTTCTGTTAGGGCCATAGAAAACAGTACGCATTATTGGACAGACCTGCTTCATAAAAGTGAGATTAAACAGCCACAGCTCGAGAATAATACAACAGGCTCACTTTTGCAGTGAGGGATCTGAAGTCACAGCCTGCAGGTCTAACGAAACCGAAAGAAACTTATGATCTTTGTTTGCTCTTTCCTTGCCTTTACCTTTTCTGCATTACAACCATTTTTCCTCTGGATATGCCCTTTTTGAGATCTCGATGAAATAAACACGTGAGCACGTGACGACTTTTAACTGACACTAATATACAAAAACGTTATCAAGCAAAACAGACTAAGTGAGCCATATATTTCTAGAGAAGAGATCAAATTGCATTACTTGTATTATGCAAAACAAAACAAACTCGTTTATTCTGTTCTACCTGTCAATAAAACAAAGAACTCAGTTCATTTTAACAATGAGAAACAAAATATATGATCCGATATTTTGTTTTACCTGATAATATAAAATACAATTATCTACAAGTGTTTTTGTGGGTAAAGAATTTAAATTGTTTTATTCCGTTGTCACTGTAATAAACTTTTTATTTTGTTTTATAAGTGTCCATATCACTTTTTGCTTTTAAATTTATAGAAAAAAAGTGCTAGTTATTTTCTTTATCTAGAGGAAAAAACCGTTGTGAAAGCATTGGCAGTTATATGGTTTTGCCAGATAAAAAATGCGTCGAAAACTAAGTATCCTATGTTTCTAACTAATTTTTTTAAATTTTTGCACTTATTTGGTTCTGCCAGAATACCCTCGATATATATTTTTCATTGCTTAAAATATTAATTGAACAGCTATTTTTCCACAAACCAAAAATATGAAAATGAATTAATGAGAAATATATTTTTATAATAGTTTTTTAATTAATTGTAAATTAAACTATCTTTTTGGATTTAGTTGCGGCATGCTTTACAGCTAACATGGTCACGGGAGGGACTTAGATTTTACACGTCTCAAAAGTTTTTACATATAGATGTTACAGACAATACCCACCCACAAAATTGTACAATGATTTTGCAAAAACAGAAAAAGTTGATATAAACGTCCAAATTCGCGTAAATCTAATAAAGTATCATATTTTTTTAATTCAATATAAAAAAAACAATATTTCGACAAAGATTATGCCCTTTTTCAGTCAGTAAATTTACTAAACCTTATTTATTTTTCATTGAACTCACCAGTAGTTGATTCCGACCCGATCAAAGGTTCTCACAACTTTGGCATCATGAGACGATAACTTAGGTCTATAGGGTTAGAATTTCTAATGACTTTGGTCTAATTTTAGTCACGAATCACGATATAGCTTGTATTAAGCTATATACCGGATAGTAATTCAAATCTCTGTAGATACACAATATTGGAAAATATTTGGTAAAAATATTTGGTGGTTTGGTTTGGTTTAAGCGGAAATACTTTTGAGGTTTCGGTTTCTGGAGTAACGTGATATTGTTTTATAGAACGAATAGTTTATAGTGGTGGGCCGTAAGGCATAAAAATTGTAAAATCTCGGAATGCAGGGAAAGTCATTAAATCTTCATAAAAACTGATCTATTGTATTGTTAAAAGCTCAAATAAAAAAGTTAAAAATAAAAAATTGTGCGATCTTGATTACAACAATTTATAACAACAATTTACTGAAAAATGAGGGGGACAAGGGCAAAAAATGTGTAAAGTTTTCAATTTTATACCTAAAAAATATATATTTGCATAGTTACTTCAATGAAAGTTTATTCATATTTCGCAAAAAATAATCAAGTTAAAAAATGTATACTACTTATATACTACTAGCAGAACCCGCGGCTTCGCTCGCGCTATAACTACAAAAAATCTTTAAAAAGGTAGTTTCATAGAAACTTTCATCCAAAATTTTACCCCCTTATAGAATGAATTTCGAAAAATGCTAAAACACTTATTTATTTAATTTTATTGAAGAGCATTAATACCAAGTTTCAAGTAATTCTGATCATACATATTTTTTTGGATTGTATTATAATGTGTTTTCCCGTGGAAATTAGATAATCTCCCGCAGTAAAAAGTAGCCTATGTCACTTCCCAGCCCTCTAATTATCTCCACACAAATAATCACGCCAATTTGTCACTCCATTTCGACGTGAAAGAAGAACAAACTTTCAAATTTATAATATTACATAAGTAAGGAAGTATGGATATATGTATATTAATACATTATCGATCATTATTGTCGTCGTCGTCGATCTCATTGATGTGGATTGTAGGTGAAGGATTATTACAGCCGTTACCATTGCATTCTAAGCAAGTTACAGTGCAATTTAATCTACTTTTTCTGCACCCAAAAGATGCACCGCATCCTGATTTACATGTGCTAATAATCATTTTCAGTAAGGTTTCTGGAGCTGGTAGCTGCGTCATTATTTGTGGGATCAGCATTCTGCATTCATATTTCCAACCACATTCTTCTGGTAATATTTCTTTTCCGAGCCATGTTTAAATTTGCAGATATACTCTTTTGAAGTGTCCAAAAGCGGCATCTGCAGTAGGTGGTTAAGACGGCAGTTTAACGCAGGTAATTTTTGGAAAAAAGCCGCGTTGGAAAAAAGCTGACGTCGTGTCACAGCCAGTATGTCATGTAAGAACAGAATATGCTGTTTACACTCTGGTAAAACTCTTTATAAGTTCTTAGAAGAGTACACTTTTTGCAATATTTTGCTTTTGGATGGCTTTCAAAAATAAATTTCTCGGGTGTTGTATTTTTGGCATTCCCTAAAAATAAAAACAAAAACAGCTACGTATTCAACCTAGCTAGGGCCCAAGGACGAGTTTGTAATAGTTCTCTTTTCAATAAATAATTTTAAACTAATAAAAATA